TTACGCAGAGGCGATTACGGGTCCTTACTCCTCTCAGTGGCAGGCAGCCATGGATGCCGAGATGGCATCCTAGAAGTCCACAGGCACCTACGTCGACGAGGCTCCCCCACCTGGGGCGAACATAATCAATGGCATGTGGATTTTCAGGGTGAAGCGGCCGCCGGGTTCTCCGCCTGCCTTCAAGGCGCGTTACGTTGCTCGAGGCTTCAGTCAGCGACAGGGGGTCGACTACTTTCAGACCTCTCCCACCCTGAAGATGACTACTCTTCGGGTGTTGCTGCACGTCGCTACTCAGCGTGACTACGAGGTGCACTCTCTGGACTTCAGTACACCTTTCTTGCAGGGCAGCCTGCACGAGGAGATCTGGCTACGCCGCCCACCTGGCTTCACTGGGTCGTTTCCTGCAGGTACCCAGTGGAGCCTCCGGCGGCCAGTATATGGTCTTCGCCAGGCGCCTTGCTAGTTGCACGACACACTGAGGAATACACTTGCGGCTCTTGGGTTTGCTCCTTCTACTGCTGACCCGTCGCTTTTTCTACGCACCGACACCTCGCTGCCGCCGTTCTATGTCCTCGTCTACGTCGACGACCTCGTCTTTGCCATTTCTGACACTGAGGCACTGACCCTTGTGATGTCGGAGCTGCAGAAGAGACACACAGACGCTTCTTGGGTTGACGATTTAGCTACGCAGCGGTCGTCACAGGGTTACACCTTCAGCCTCGGTTCCGGCTATGTTTCCTGGCGGTCTACCCGCTCGTCTTCGGTTCTCAGTTCCAGTTGTGAGGCTGAGATCTAGGCTGAGATCTACGCAGGGGCCATGGCTGCACACGAGCTACGCTAGCTCACCTACCTGTTCGCATCCAGTTCTGTACGTAGACAACAAGGCCATGATTGCCTTGTGTCAGGAGCACAGACTGGAGAACAGAACGAAGCACATCGCTTTGCGATACTTCCTTGCTTGAGAGTTGCAGCAGCGTGGCCAGCTTCGTCTTGTGTACGTGGCCACTAGGGCCAACACTACTGATATATTCACCAAGGCACTTCCGCCTGGTGATCATCAGCCCTTCTCTACTGTGCTAGGCCTTGTGCCTACTTTGCCTCACATGCTAACTGCTTGACTTGCTTGTACTGTGATATATACATATTTACCTGCATGCTTTCACTTGCTAGGATATGATCAGTGTATTGTTTGTTCTCCTTTATGTAACTCTGCATGGGAACTGGCCTTGTGGCCTTTTGCTTGTGCTCAGACTGTGTGGTGACTTTGTGATCCACCCTGAGCTTGCTTTGCTTTTCTTGACTGGTCTTGTGACCACTTGTTCTCCCCCACTTTCCCTATGGGGGTGTGTCAGAATATTATAGTGCTTACATTTGTGTAGGCAATCGTGGGGTAGCCCATAAGGGGTACAACCCAATTAGGGTTGGTACTTGTACCCAACTCTTTCATAGTTCATTCATCCTCGTTCGTTAGTTTGACAGGTCTGGTGCGACGGGAGGCGACACGAGCAGAGGGGTGCTAACAGACCTGACGCGGACACCTTGGTAGACGCAGCTACCTAAGGAGGCTCGGAAGTCAGTTTGTACAGACTCGACCCAGGTTGACGAGTGAACGTGGCCAGATTACGGCCCGTCTGTGTACACGTGCAGATCGACACACGCTGACCCCTAGGAGTGGTGGTAGTGACCATCGCATCCTGGAGGGCAGCAGTACTCACCAAGTTCGTAGAGAACGAGGGGAGGTGAAGACCTGAGAGTGAACCGGACAAAACCGCCGGACACGGGAGAACAGTGGAGGAACTGTTAAGAATTGGGCCCCCTGAGGGGTCAGCCAGTCTGACCGGTACAGGTGCAGAGAGAGGAGTGAGGGTGGTGCTGTCGCGAAAGAAACAGCGGGAAGCACCTGAGTCAAGCGTAAAGGTGTGCAAGGCCTCAGCAGGTGAAGTACCAGGGAGAGCAGACTCACTAGCACCTAGAGCAGCAGCCTCTACACCTGGGTCAGGCGGCACACATAGGTAATAGTCACCCTCAGCACTAACAGACAAGGCATACATAGCAGCAAGGATAACATCATAGTCAAGATCAAAGATAGCAAGTCCAGATATAAGCAGCTCTGCCCAGCGGGGGCGCTCGGCCTCGTCACCAAACTCTGCGCGCCAAGCGTCGTCTAGGCGGGAGAAGTAGCGGTGCTGAGTGTGAGGCTTCCCGCATGTCTGGCCAGCACGGTCACCCGTGCGAATGACATACGGGCAGCTAACACTACCCCCAGACGCCCCACGCTGCGCAAACCACTGACGAAGCTGCTGGGGCAACTGGGCCTCGCTCCGACGCTGCTGCTGCTGCCTCTGGCTACCGCCAGAACCCCCCCTCTGAACAGCTCCACCCCGACTGCCACCACTCCCACCGCTGCCACGACCGCCACCTCCACCGCCCCCACCGCTACCACCACCAAAGCCCCCACTCCCGCCACCACTCCCACCGCTGCCACCACCTCCGCTACCTCCACCACCTCCACTGCCGCCACCACCACCACCCCCGCCGCCCCCTCCACCATTCCTGCCACCCTTGCCCTTGCCTATGCGGCGCTTCCCACCAATAGCAGAAGCAGCCCCGACATCCTCAGCACCAAGGACGTCAACAGCAGCAGCAGAAGCGTAGGAGGGGGCAAGGGGGGAGGGGGAGCACCCCTCAAAGAAGGGAGTGCGAGGAGTGCCACGAGCAGCACCTACAACAACTACGCTAGTCTCTGCTGCAAGGAGGTGCTGCTCGAGCAGGTCGACAGTGAGGGCTGTGGGGTCAAGTGCGAGAAAGTGGTCCCTGAAAGCAGGAAGAGAGTCAGGAAGGCGAGTGACTATGAAGTAGAGAGTGATGTACATTGGGGGCGGGTTCCTGTCCAGGAACTCTGCTAGAAGGGCAGCGCGGTAGCGAGCATCGCTAGTGCGAAGGTGGGTAACGAGGTCCTCTACCATGGCAAATGCGGACAGCTCGGGAAACAGGTAGGGCAGTAGAAGATGGCCTAGAGCAGCTGTGGCAGGGGAGGAGTAACGGGCGACTATAACGTTGTACAATGCTTTAGCAGTCTTGTGCTGTCCGAAGTGAGCACGTTCGGTTAACGGCAGGTGGTTGCGAATGGCTAAGCGAGCTGCAGCTTCACGGGTAAGCCACTGTGAGCGAGTCGCACTGTCAGCTGTGGCGGGAGGGGCGAGAGAGGCTCCAAACGTGTGGTCAAACAACGAAACGCTGTCTCTAGAATCGCTCAGTAGGTACAGCTGTAAGTCGTCGAGCCACGTATCAAACTGGATCGGACGGCCCTCATGATCGAATGTGAGTACACTGAGAGAAGCCATAGTGGGCAGAGCAGGGTGGCGTGCGATCAGCAGAGCAGCACAGAGGTAGGGCGACGCGCGAGCACGAGGGAAGTGCGCAGTGCAGGGCAGGGCGGCGCACAGCTAGGGCGGCGAGCAGAAAGGGCGGCGAGCAAGCTGCCAGAGGGCGGCGCGCGGGCAGCAAGGGGCGGCGAGCGGGCTGCCAGAGGGCGGCAAGCGGGCTGCAAGTGGCGGCGAGCAGGCCGCAAGGGGCGGCGAGCGGGCTGCTAAGGGCGGCGAGCGGGCCGCAAGGGGCGGCAAGCGGGCTGCAAGGGGCAGCGCGCGGGCCGCAAGCGGGCGGCGAGCATGCTGTAGGGGCGGCGAGCCACGTATCGAACTGGATCGGACAGCCCTCATGATCGAAAGTGAGTACACTGAGAAAAGCCATAGCAGAGCAGCACGCAGGCAGGGCGGCGCTCGAGCACTAGGGAAAATGCTGAATTTTCAGAGTTCACTTCGAAAAAAGGCTGAAATATTAGAGTTTTTTAGGCAAATTAGATGAATTTCTCTGACTTCTGGGGGCCTGCACCCCACCTCTTCATCACACTCCAACCCTCTTTTTTTTCATATGGTACTAAATGTGTGACATGCAGGGCCTCAGATGTCAGGAATTTTACCCTGAATTCCTGAAGTTTGACCCCCGTTTTTTATCATGACCCTGATGCATCAGCCTTTTTTTTTCAACGACCCTGATGTTTCAGTGTTTTTAAATTTCGAACTCTGATTTTCCAGTGTTTCGTGTTTGAGGACACTGACGAGTCAGTGTTGTATCGGGGTCTACCCTGAAACCGAAAACTCCTTGTTTTGGCGCGCCGTCACTGTGCACCGTGCACCAAGGGGATTTCTGGCGAAACATGCTCTGACAGGGCGAATCTCTTGTGTGAGGGGCGAATCTGCTGCTGTGTCAGGGCAAATCTGCTATGATTGGGCGAATTTGCTGTGCTGCGACAGCGCGTAACGACTGTGCGAGGTCGAATTTGCCGTCAGGGCGAATCTGCTGTGACGAACCAAGTCCGAATCATCAGTCAAGTACACAACCAGAGATCAGAAACAATTCTTAACAATTGTCCTATTCGATTGGTCAGACAAGATTTCTGACCAATCAGACACGGAAATAGCAGAATCCTGGCCGAATTTGGGAATTGTTAAGTGAGGGGCAGTCTGATTCGCTGTGTTATGACAGCATACCAGTAAAGCAACTATGCTGATCAGTGTTGAAGTTGTAGAAACCCTGATTGATCAGCGTTTTATTTCTAACAACCCTGTAAATTCAGTGTTTCACACTAGACGACACTGAAAATCAGCGTTACCCTCCTAGGGACACTGAGTGCTCAGGGTACACAAAAACCAATCTGAGGCCCTGGTGACGTGCCTTTCCCATCCACTCCTTCCCCTACTCACGCATCTTAGAATAACCCTTCCAGCCAGTCATTTCCCAGCCTGAGAATTACAAATCAGATCAGCCATCAACCACTTGTCTCATGCGGTACGAGAAGTACCTCTCCCATTCATCAAAATCCCATCCATCTCACCCCACCTCTTGAGCTCTTGAGGTGCGTTATAGTAGAGGACTCAACCCTTCCTACCCTCACATGCATGATACCCACGACCTCATCGACTCATCACATGATCACGCCATCACATGAGCCCTCCAAGCATCTCCCTCAAGCGGTACGCATTATACAGCTCCTCCTCCCACGCCTCCTCATCCCACCCTTCCTCCTCCCACCCACCCCCACCCTCCTCTCCCTCGTCCCCCCCCTCCTCTGTCTCTTCCTCCTCCCACCCTCCTTCGCCGTCCCTCGCACCTCCCCCCCTGCCCCCCCCACCGTGCCCCTCGTCCCACGTGAACCCCCTCGCACTCCATCTCTCCTCCCCCGTTTCATACAACACCTCCTCCTCACCCCCCGCCAGATCAGTGTAGCCAACCATTTCCGCTCTACCTCCTCCCCCTGCCACTCCCCCTCCTCTTCCTCTTCCCCTTACTCTCCTTGCCCCACCTCCACTCCCTCCCCTCCCTCCTCTTCCCCCCCTCCCTCCTCTCCCTCTCCCTCCCCTCGCACTACCCACTCCCCCCTCACCACACTCACCCCCAGATTCAGCATCATCCCTCCCCTCCCTCACAACCCTCCTTGGAGCTCTTTTCCTCTTCGGCCTCGAAAAACCCTCTACCCCACCCACTCCCCCCACTTCCCCCACTCCCCCCACTCCCCCGTCCCCACCGCCCGTCTCACCTCCCAACTCCATCCCCTCACCACCCACCACCCCTCCTCCTCCTCCCACCTCCCCCTCTTCCCCCCCTTCCGCTCCCTCCTCCCCTTCGTGCCCCGGCCGCCACTCCCGCCATGTCTTCCACTTGCCCTGCATGATCAGCCTCATCGCCCGATCCATCCCCATCTCTCTCAACCGCTCTCTCTCCTCCTCTGTGATAAACTCGTATGCTCTCTTCGGCCTTCTCCCCAGCACGAAATGAATTGCTTCTGCTGCTGCTGCCGCCTCCTCCCCTTGCTCCCGCTCCCACCGCGCGCAGTAAAGCTGCTCCCCCAGCCCATACCGCTTCTTGAGTGCGGCTGACACGGAAATACGGATCTCCCACTTGTTGTAGCGGAACGACACGCCGAAATACTTCTGCGGGACTCCATACTCCTCCTGCCGCTCCTGCTGCTGCTGCTGCTGCTGCTGGTGCTCTTCCCCCCCCTGCTGCTCCTGCTGCTGCAGCTCAAGAGACTGAACAGCAGCCGGATCAGGAGGAGCCGGCACAGCCCTCTGAGCAGGCTCGGGCGTGGCAGGAGCAGATGGGACGAGAGGAGTGGAGCGAGAGCGAGGGGTGTTGCGAGTAGTGGAGCAAGCATTGGAACTTGCGCGAGGCCTGGAGCGAGTGAGGAAGCTTGGGCGGCGCCTGGAGCGAGAGGGAGGATTCAAGAGAGCAAGTATTTCTGCAGCCTCCTCGTTATTTGCTGTGGCGAAAGGGGTGCAGAGAGCGAGAAGGCGAGAGGGAGAAACACACTCAACGTCCCGGTCGGCTGCCTGGGGAACCTGGGCAGGCCGGCGGGAAGCAGCAGCCCAAGAAGTGCGGCCAGGTGAAGAAACACGGATCCGGGACGCAAGAGCGAGGGCTTTAACAGGAATACCGGCCGCATTTGCCTCGCGGACAGACTTGGATGCTGAGCCAAGGGATAACCCCGCGGCAGCAGTGGCAGTTGCGTGTAATTCCTCCTCCTCGCCCCACCACAAACGCCACTGCTGCCATATCACCCACCGCTTCTTCTTGATCAGCTCTGCTGCTTTCGCCCTCCCCATCTCTCTCAACCGCTCCTTATCTCGTCCTGAAAGAAAGTCATACTGAGAAGGAGAGACAGGCATGGGGGGGGTTGGTCTCGTAAGAGAGGGCGTTGGTCTGAGAGGGAGAGACAGGCATGTCTTGTCGCGGAGAGGCCTGCTGAGAGGGCTGTGAGGAGGGGAACTCATCAACGCAAGGCATGAGCTGCAAGGGTTGTGCGGGGTGTGAGGGTTGTGCGGGGTGTGAGGGTTGTGAGAGTGGCAAGGGGTGTGAGGGCTGTGAGGAGGGCGATTCGTTGACACTAGGCGTGTGAATTCCATGGCCGGCGGTCATTGCCCTTTGAGATGGAGTTTGGCGAGCCGAACCTGCCACTGTGGCTCGGTGGGTGGGTTGACCAGACGGGATTCGGAGGGCAGGCAAAGGGGCGGCGGCAGAAGCGGCGGCAGGAGAAGGGGCGGTGGGAGAAAGGGCGGCACGAGAAGCGGCAGCACGAGAAGGGGTGGCGGGAGAAGGGGCGGCACGAGAAGGGGCGGCGGGAGGAGGGGCGGCGGGAGGAGCAGCAGCACGAGAAGAGGCGGCAGGAGAAGGCGCGGGCCGAGAAGGGGCGGCGCGAGAGCGTGCAGGAAAACTGAAAGGTGCAGACACACGAGTAATAGGCACTATAACGGTGCGTGGGGGGATGTTGGATGGGACCGATGAGGGGCGGGCAGTTGTCACGATAGTCAGAGGCCGAGAGGATGGGGAAGAAGAAGACAAAAGGGGTAGAGTGCGGGGTGATGCTGTGGTTTCCACGACAGTTATAGCACCTGTAGCAGCTGCAGCTCCTGTAACAACTGGAGCGGTTGTAGTTCCTGTAGCAGTTATAACTCTTGTAGCAGTTGTGGTTCCTGTGGCAGATGGAGCTCCTGTAACAGCTGTGACTCCCAAAGCAGCTGTAGCTCCTGTAGCAGCTGTAGCTCCTGAAATCGCTGTAGATCCTCTAAAAGCTGTAGCCCCTGTAGCAGCTGTAGTCGCTGGAACAGCTCTACCTGTAGCAGCTGTAACTCCTGTAGCAGTTGTAGCCCCTGTAGAAGCTGTAGCTCCTGCAACGGCTGTAGATCCAGTCACGGCTGTAGCTCTTGTCACGGCTGTAGCACCTGCAATGGCTGTAGCACCTGCAATGGCTGTAGCTCCTGCAATGGCTGTAGCTCCTGCAATGGCTGTAGCTCCTGCAATGACTGTAGCTCCTGTAACGGCTGTAGCTCCTGTAGCAGCCGTAGCTCCTGTCGCGGCTGTAGCTCCTGTCACGGTTGTAGCTCCTGTCGCGGTAGTGGCTCCAGTCACAGCTGTAGCTCCTGTAGCAGCTGTAGCTCCTGTTACGTTAGTGGCTCTAGCAACAGCCAGGGCTCTTGTAACAGTTCCTGAAACGTCTGTAACTCCTGTACCAGCTGCAGCACCTGCAGAGGCTGTAGCTCCTGCAATGGCTGTAGCTCTTGTCACGGCTGTAGCTCCTGTCACGGCTGTAACTCCTGTCACAGCTGTAGCTCCTGTTACGGAAGTGGCTCCAGCAATAACCGGGGCTCCTGTAACAGCTGTAGCTCCTGTAGCGGGTGCAGCTCCTGCAGTGGCTGTTACCCTGGTAGCAGCTGTAACACCTGTAGCATCTGTAGCAGCTGTAGCATCTGTAGCGGTTGTATTTGCTCCAGTGTGTCCCTGTAACGCCTTGTTGATAATGTTATGCACGCGAATCAGATCCTCCTTTCCCATTGCCCCCAGATTTACGGCTTTGGTAACCATACCAACGATGTCTCCTCCTCCTCCTTCCCCTCCTCCTCCCCTCCCTCCTCCATCCCCCCCACTTCCTCCGACTGCTCCCGCTTGATTCATCCTCCTTTCCCTAACCCACTAATTCCGAGGCGGCTCGAAAACATCCTCTTTACCCTAACCCAATGACACCAATCAAGTAACGGCGTGCCTGTGTGCGTTACAGTCTGTGTGCGTTACTGGCTGTTTGCGTTACTGGCTGTGTGCGTTACCGGCTGTGTGCATTACTGGCTGTGCGTTACTGGCTGTGCGTTACTGGCTGTACGTTACTGGCAGCAAAGTGAGATGAGACTACTCTTCAGAAGCTTAAGACGACGTTTCTGCTGCCAGTCAGAAATAAGCAGATGAAAAAAAATGACTAACTTATTTTGAACCGGTGTCAGGCAGTAGTGGTGAATACAGAAAGGCTGTCCGTGGCGGTTTTTTGAGAAAATTACTCTAAGCGCTGCTGAAAAAACCAGTTCAGTAACAGCACTGAAATTACCAATAGTTCAGTAACAGCACTATTATAAAAACTAGTTCCGCGAGGACGTATTGCCTGAGATTGCGCAACCGGCTGGATTCGTAACTGGGATGTAACCACATTCCGCAGGCATCTCGCGGGTGACTCTTACGTCCTCCGGCCTAAGCTGTGCGTCCTGCGACTTGCGCTCTTCGTTCTGCGACTTGCGCTCTTCGTCCTGCGACTTGCACTCTACGTCCTGCGACTTCCGCTCTACGTCCTGCGACTTGCGCTCTACGTCCTGCGACTTGCGCTCTACGTTCTGCGACTTGCGCTTTTCGTTCTGCGACTTGCGCTCCAGGTGCGTGGAACGACCTGCGCTCTAGGTCGTCCGTGGTGTCAGAGTAAGCTTCACCGAAAATGCAGACGGCGAGGTGACTTTTGAGTCGACTCAAAAATCTAGATCGTCCGTGGTGTCAGGGTCAGCTACGCCGAAAATGTAGACTGCGAGACATCAGTGTCGAACATCCGTTTGAAGCACCTCGAGAAAATATATCCAGTGCAAGACAGCAGAGTCAGACATCCTTGAAAAGAGCGAGCTAACCGGAAAATGTAGACTGCGGGACATCCATATTCGTAAGGCACTTGGGAAAAAGAGTCTGGAAACTGGAAAGTACAGACCGCGAGGTCTTAGTGTCATACATCCATTCTTCTTCAACACGCATCAGAAAACAAGATTCGACGTCAACGTCGGATGGGTTGCGTAGTTGTCACATTCATATTTTACAAAACACGAGGACAAGCAATTTAATGTATTTATATAGCACCAAGTTTTAACTTTCATGTATTAATGAATATAGCAAGTCTAGTTACTTCTTGATTATGAAATAATGTGTTAGTTTATGATTCCATTGCTAAAACATGGGTGAATAGAACAATTGAGTGTCTTTTTGATAAGTAGTTTATAAAATTTAGTGAACAACTATGTTTTATATCTTCAATAGTATATTTTGTAACACTATACTATCCGGTTCTTGCTCTAGCAAAAGTGTGGTTCAAATTGAACTGTTTTCCAGCTCACACAAATTTCACGTGATTATCCGTGTGTGTTCTCACGTGGCACCAGCGTTTGGTTTTTGTTTTGAATTCCAAGTGCCCAAGTTCTGTGCTGGCTTTCAGATTGCCCCAACGTTTTCGTTTACTGTAGTTTCTTGTTTGGCACTCCCTCCCACCCCGTCATCACTTCTCCTCCCCCACCAGCTGTTGCCTCACCCTCCCACCCACCACGTCATCGCCTCTCCCTCCCACCCACCTTTCCATCGCTACTCCCTCCAACCCCGCCATCCTCTCTCGATTCCAGCCCCCCTTCCCCTCTCCCTCCCACTATGCCGAGGCCTCTCCCTCCCTCCCGCCGTCGCCTCTCCGTTCCTCCCGCCGTCGACTCTCCCTCCCTCCCGCCGTCGCCTCTCCCTCCTCCTCGCCGTCGCCCATCCCTCCTCCCCGCCGTCGCCTCTCCCTCCTCCCTGCAGTCGCCCATCCCTCCTCCCCGCCGTCGCCTCTCCCTCCTCCCCGCCGTCGCCTCTCCCTCCTCCCCGCCGTCGCCTCTCCCTCCTCCCCGCCGTCGCCCATCCCTCCTCCCCGCCGTCGCCTCTCCCTCCTCTTCGCCGTCGCCCATCCCTCCTCCCCGCCGTCGCCTCTCCCTCCTCCCCGCCGTCGCCTCTCCCTCCTCCCCGCCGTCGCCCATCCCTCCTCCCCGCCGTCGCCTCTCCCTCCTCCCCGCCGTCGCCTCTCCCTCCTCCCCGCCGTCGCCTCTCCCTCCTCCCCGCCGTCGCCTCTCCCTCCTCCCCGCCGTCGCCTCTCCCTCCGCATCACGGTCGCCTTTCCCCCCCATCCGCCGTCGCCGCTCCCTCCTCCCGCCGTCGCCGCTCCCTCCCATCCCGCCGTCGCCTCTCCCTCGCATCCCGCCGTCGCCTCTCCCTCCCATCCCGCCGCCGACTCTGTCGACAGGTCACGAGCAAGCTGGTGCGCGAGTGGGAGCCGGTGCGCGAGCGCGGGTTTGACTCTGCACCGTGAATTGCAGGTGCGTTTACCTTTCCCTGTCCATTTTTCCTCCCTTCCCCCTACTGAAAGGTCCTATATTTCCGATTTTTCCTATCGTATTTGTAGTTTCTGTGTGTTGATTGGTCTCTTGCTAAACACTACTATTTGAAGAGGGGGGAGAGGGAGCGCGAGGGAGCGAGAGCGCAGGAGAGTGCGCGCGTGAGAGCTAAGGAAGCACTAGAGGGAGAGGCGCGAGAGAGAGCGCCGTGCGCGCTTGCGCCGTCGGCGCGGGCCCTATTGGCGCTTGTGCCTAGCCCCTTGCGCTTAGGGCGCTGGGGCCGTGGGCGCAAGCGCCGTGGTTGCTGGCGCCTAAGGCGCTTGCGCTTATGGCGCAGACGCCTTGGCCGCTTGCGCCTAAGGCTCTTGCGCCATGGGCGCTGGCGCATAAGGTGCTTGCGCTTAGGGCGCTGGCGCCGTGGGCGCTTGCGCCGTTGGCGCGGGCTCCGTGGGTGCTAGCACCTAACGTGCTTGCGCTTAGGGCGCGAGCGCCGTGGGTGCTGCCCCATGAGGCGCTGGCTCTGTGGGCGCTTGCGCCGGGGGCTCTGGCGCCTTGGGCGCGAGCGCCGTTTGTGCTGGCGCCTAAGGCGCTGGTGCAGTGGGCGCGGGCGCCGTGGGCGCTTGCACTTGCTGGCGGCTTGGGCACGGGCGACGTGAGGGCGAGACTTGGATGTGCACGTGCACTTGCGGGTGAGTGCGGTTGTGAGTGCAAGGGCAAGTGCGAGTGTGAACGAGAGAGCAGGTGCGAGCGTAAGCGCGAGTGTGAGTGCGAAAGCAATTGTGGGAGTGAGTGCCAGGGCGAGTTTGAGGGTGAGTACGAGTGTGAGTGTGTGTTAGTGCAAGGGGGAGTGCGAGGGTCCGTTTGAGTGTGTGCTAGGGTGAGTACGATGATGAGTGCAAGAGTTTGTGTGTGTGTTTCTGTGATTGTCGAAGAAGAGTTGAGAGTACATTACATGTGTTTGAGTGCAAGAGTGAGTGCGAGAGTGAGTGCAAGAGTGAGTGCGATGGTGAGTTAGATGGTGGCTGCGATGTTTAGTGCAAGCGTGAGCGCGGGTGTGAGTGCGAGGGTGTGTGAGATGGTGTGTGAGGGCAAGTAGAAGAGTGAGTGCGAGGGTGAGTTCGAGGGCGAGTGTGTGGGTGTGGGTGTGAGTTGAGTTCAAGGGTGCCACCGTGCCGGCGACTGTGTGTGCGTGTGAGTGTGAAAGTGTTCGAGTGAGTGCGCGAGTTCGAGGGTGAGTGCAAGGGTGTGTGTTTGTGTTTCTGAGGGTGTGTCTAAGAACGGTTGAAAGTAATTGTGCGTCCGTGAGTGGTTGCGAGAGTGAGTACGGGAGTGTGTGAGGGTGAGAGGGCGGTATCCGGGTGCGAAAGCGGGTGTGACTGCGAGTGTGAGTACGCGCATGTACTTGAGGGTAAGTGCGAGGGTGCGTGCAAGTGCGTGTATGCGGGTGAATATGAGAGGAAGTACGAGGGTGCGTGTTTAGGTGAGTGCGAGGGTGAGAACGAGAGCAAGAGTTAGAGCAAGTGCGAGAGTGAATGTGAGTGTAAATATGATGGTGCAGGGTTTGGGGTGAGTGTGAGCTCGAGTGTGAGGGTAGTTCAAGGGTGAGTGCGAGGATGAGTGGGTGTGCGTGTGAGTGCAAGGCTGAGAGCGAGACTGTCTTAGGGTGAATGCGAGAGCAAGTGCGAGTGTGAGTGCAAGGGTGCGTGTGAGTGTCCTTGCGTGCGCGTGGAAGTATTTGTAACGTGTAACGTATGATTGGAATGAGAATGATCATGAGTGCGAGGGTAAGTGCAAGAGTTAACGTGTAGGTTTGTATGTGTGTTTCTGTGTGAGTGTGTCTAAGAAAGTTGAGAGTATTTGTGCGTGTGTGAGTGGGTGCGGGATTGAGTACAAGATTGAGTGCGAACGTGAGTGTGAAGTTGAACTTGAGGGTGGCTTCAAGGCATGGCATCATGCTGGTGTAGTATCTGTGGTGCCACGACTAATACCAATTTACCTCTGTGAGCTGTCAAATCGATTGCTCATCTTTTTCCATTGTGCTTATTTCGTCTCTAGTGGGTGAGCTGCATTCTCTGCTTTTGTCTTCTTGTGAAATCCTATGAGGTGTACTCTCTTTGTTTTTGCTTTCTTATGCAGTGTGGGTGAGTTGTTTCCTAATTGGCCTCCTCACATGAGTTGCATTCTCTGTTTTTACTTTGTGCAGGGCTCGTAAGCTGCATTCTTTGATTATGTTTGGCGGAGAAGGGAGATGAGGGAGGCAATGGGAGGGAGATGAGGGAGGGACGGAGGGAGGGATGGAGGGAGGCAAGGAGGCAGGGAGGGAGGGAGGGAGGGAGGGAGGGAGGGAGGGAGGGAGGGAGGGAAGGAAGGAGGGAAGGAGGGAGGAAGGGAGGGGTGTAGGGAGGGTAAGGGGTGATTGGCTAGTGATGATTTACTAATAGCTGAATTTCATGATGGTTGTGTGTTGACTATCCGTATGTATCTGTGCTTGTTTGCGTGCGTGTCAGTGTGTATGTGTGTGTGTGAGCCTGTGTGTGCATGTGCAGTCGTGTTGTTTGTATCGTTTGTGTCTGTCTCAAGGCGTGTGCTGAAGTGCCTCGTGTATGCAACTCAGGTTGTGATCGCCGGTGGGGCAATAGCCTTAGCGTGCCAGACCAACCTTTGTTGCATCATCGATGCATTTTAGCATTCTCCCCAAGACACTCATTGTTATGCGTTGTCGTCGTTGTACCAGTACAATGTCGCATGTGCTCGTTCGTGTTTGTTGTAAGGTGTCATGTTAAAGTGTGTCAGGTCTGCAATTGAGGTGGGGATCGTTGTTGGGGCAGCGTTGCTCGCCTTAGCATACCGGATCCATCGCTATTGTAGCACTGATGCATTTTGCCATTCACTTTATGACATTTGCTGTTGTTGATTGTTGTCGTTTTGCACATGTTCGATACGGTAGATGCAAATCCGTAATTTGCATCCACGCCGAATTTGTTGTCTCGTCAATTGTGTGTGATGTACCGTAAAATATGGCGAGGCTGCTACCAATTGTTTCCATTCGCCGTATTTATCGACGATTATGGAATAATTGGTCTCATTTGGTTTCACTTTTTTTGGAGGCTCTTGTGTAGCAGTGCTGTCATCTCCACACATTTGAAGCACACGTTCTCAAAACGTTAAAGCTAGTGCTTCAGATGTTGGGAATATGACAAAAATGTGCCCTGTTCATTCGAGTCGACCGAAAAAAGTGCTACCAAATGTAAAGGGGTTGCTACGCAACCCAATGATCCGGCTAAACGGAAAATATAGACTGCGAACCGCAGTGTCAGACCTTCGTTGTCCGTTTGCTGGTTCGCAGGACCAGTCTCTAACCCAGTAATTTCATCCGTCGCACAGGAATAGGGTGCTATGGTTACGTACGGTACGGACCACCCAGGTTCGGCAAGTTCCAGGCATCAAGGGCAGGCAAACTCCGACCTGTAACACACCACGCGGAGTCGTACTCAACCATCTTCGCCCTGACTGAACTCACTGAACAATCAGGTGAGATGGATTCAGTGTCGCCAGGAAATTGATGGTCAATACCATCGCAGCTGAGGCTCCGATACAGTTGAATTGGTTACAGCCCTCCCAAGCGCTGCTTCGAAAACTAAAAAAGTTCCTGCTTCTAGTGCTTTCAGAGCTGCAGGTTCTTCAGCTTCATAAATGTATGACAGCTGGGCTTGACATAAAAGCAACATTAAAACCAGGGAGAAGTATTATAATTGAAGTACTGCCGGCTATTTTTCACAGCAGTCCTAAATGCAAAATACTACCTCTAGTGCATGTTTCTTTTGATTACGCATGCTGCATAGCGAGCGCCTCGTCGCGAAGTGAAGAGAAGAGGACCGAGGAAAGGTACCGCTCACCAAAGCTTGGCAGCACCACCTAGCAGAGCAGTGCAAAAGAGAACAAAGAGTCCGGGGGGGTAAGTCAATCAAGGAATAAGACCCAAAAATAAAAACAACCCCCATACGGAACTCCTGAAAATGGATCTGCAACCACAGCTGGCACATAACGTACCACAATGAGCTTCCCAGCGTTCTCCGCCCGTTTGGCCACTTCGATTGCTGCCACGACTGCTGCTCCCGATGAAATCCCCACCTGCATTGGAGAAAACAGGAGTCAGGCAGGGAGCATGGAAAGGAAATAGGTGAGTCTGGACGAAACAAAAGCTTGTCTACATGATAGTTTCCCCTGGAGGGAGAAGAATGAGAGATAGAAGGGATACCCAACACGCTATGCAACAAACTGTGAGCATGCCCCACCTGAGTGGATACTGAAGAGGGATAACAGTTAGAACCTGAACAGCCTGATAAACTACCATCTCAACCGCACTCTTCAGTCAACCTCACTCACCAGCAGCCCTTCCTTCTGCGCGAGCTGCTTCGCCATCTCCACTGCTTCATCGCTGGACACCTGGTCAGGGAGATAGCAGAGGAGTTCAAGCAGGATGTTTACTTCGCCTACAGGGTGTTGAAACATGCTTCGCTATTTCCACTGCTTCATCGCACCTGCCCAGAGAGATAGCAGAGGAGTGCAAACAGGATGTTTACTTCGCATAGAGAGGACGATGGACGTGCACCAGTTACAGCTTACACCATAGAAGCCCAACAACAGAGACGAATGCGATTGACCAAGCAAGCCAAAAGCATCACATGGAGCCAACATACCTGCACATTCCACGTTCCTGAAGCACTCGGCACGTACCTGCACCACTTCGCTCAGCAGCCCCACGTCCAGCACTCCCGGCACAAAACCAGCGCCAATGCCCTGGATCTTGTGCGGGCCTGGATGGAGGAGTGGGATCGGTGGGGTGAGAGGATATGGTGAGAGGAGGGAGGGAGGATAGGGGCTCGCATGCACAAAGCCGGCAGCTACACCGAGGAACAAAAGGAGGAAACTGAGGCTTGGAGGTAGGTTCGTCGCAGGAGAGAAGGAAAGAGAT